CAACCTCTGGTCTACACCACTAATGCCTAGAGTTCCTGGTGAACTCCTGCACATTCTTCAAGACTCCATGCATAGAGACCACATCTGATTAACATCTTCCCTGATCCTCTCCAGTTAGATTTGGTGTCTGTGCACCTTTTTTTTTTTTCTTTTTTTTGAGACAGAGTCTAACTCTGTCGCCCGGGCTGGAGTGCAATGGCACCATGTCAGCTCACTGCAACCTCCGTCTCCTGGGTTCAAGCAATTCTCCTGACTCAGCCTCCCGAGTAGCTGGGATTACAGGTGCCCGCCACCACGCCTGACTAATTTTTGTATTTTTTAGTAGAAACGGGGTTTCACCATGTTGGGCAGACTGGTCTCGATCTCCTGACTTTGTGATTCACCCACCTCAGCTTCCCAAAGTGCTGGGATTACAGGCGTGAGCCACCACGCCTGGTGGTGCACCTCTTTTATTAGGCCACTTTGTAAGTTTGTTTCTTTCTTTCTTTCTTCTTTTTTTTTTCTTGAGACAGTTTTGCTCTTGTCGCCCAGGCTGGAGTGCAATGGCATGACCTTGGCTCACTGCAACCTCCACCTCCTGGGTTCAAGCGATTCTGCTGCCTCAGCCTCCCAAGTAGCTGGCATTACAGATGCCCACCAGCACGCCTGGCTCTTTTTTTTTTTTTTTTTTTTTGAGACAAAGTCTCACTCTGTCGCCCATGCTGGAGTGCAGTGGCGCGATCTTGGCTCACTGCAACTTCAGCCTCCCAGGTTCAAGTGATTCTCCTGCCTCAACCTCCAGAGTAGCTGGGACTACAGGCTTGCACCACCACGCCCGGCTAATTTTTGTATTTATTTAGTAAAGACGGGGTTTCACCATATTGGCCAGGCTGGTCTTGAACTCCTGACCTCGTGATCTGCCTGCCTCAGCCTCCCAGAGTGCTGAGATTACAGGCGTGAGTCACCGCGCCCGGCTGCCCAGCTAATTTTTGTATTTTCAGTTGGGACAGTGTTTCACCATGTTGTCCAGGCCGGTCTCGAACTCCTGACTTCAGGTGATCCGCCTGCCTCAGCCTCCCAAAGTACTGGGATTGCAGGTGTTGAGCCACCGCACCTGGCCATAAGTTTCTATTTATGTGTTTCTTCAGTTCAGCCCCATCTGTCTGACTGTGTTCCCAGGGCTGAGCTTTGTGGCTGGCAAGGCACAAAGTTAGCGCTCAGTAAGTGTTGGCTAATTAGATGTCCAGGGTTGCTCTTTGGTAAAGCTGGGCCAGGGAAAGAGGAGAACTGGTGCGGTTGAATGCCGGCCGCGTATCCGTCGCCTGCTCTATGTGGTCTTGGGTGGAGACATGGAGTGTATGGCTGCCGGGTGGTTCCAGAGCATCCCTGGAGGCGCTGCAGAGGAGATCGGACGTTGAAGATGTCCTCTGAGGACACAGCCCGCCTAAATTGTGGTATCAGCAGACGCCTAGAATACTTTCTTTGGAAATTAAATCCTCCAACATTTCCTCCCCTTGTTCTTGGGTGGGAAGAGGCCCCTCAGCTGCCCACAGCTTGCGATGGCGGCGCGGGCCAGATTTCAGCTTCCCACTGCATGGAGGCCCCTCTTCTGCTGCCCGGTGCTGACTCCGACCCCAAGGCTGGGCAGCGTCAGCCTGCTCCCCCAACCTGGGCCTGCTGCGTGGCTCTGCTGTCACCTGAAGTGCCCCAGCAGTGGGTGGTGTCTCCTTTCACGCGTCCTTTCCCAGAACAGCCGGTCCCAGCCTCCCCCAGGGTGTGAAGCTTCTCGGCTCTGCCTTCTGGAATCCCTCAGCCTCCTGTCCAGGGCACATCCAGGCTGGAGTTAGTCCCCTTCTCCCTGTGCTGCTATGGGTTTTTTTGTTTGTTTTGTTTTGTTTTTTTGAGACAGGGTCTCACTTCGTTGGAGACACTGCCTTAAGTGCAGTGGCACAATCTCGGCTCACTGCAGCCTCCACTTCCTGGGCTCAGGCAATCCTCATGCCTCAGCCTCCTATGTAACTGGGACTACAGGGGCAAGCCACCATGCCCAGCTATTTTTCTTTCTTTTCTTTTTTGTAGACATGAGGTCTTGCTATGTTGCCCAGGCTGGTCTGAAACTCCTGGGCTGTAGTGATCCTCCTGCCTCAGCCTCCCAAAGTGCTAGAATTAACAAGTGTGAGCCGTGGTGCTAGGCCTATGGAGTTTTTCTTGAGGTGGGGAGGGACGTCTATTTCCCTCTCCCTTTCCCCGTTCTGGAGCTTTTTCACTGCTGTCCTGACCTCTGTCCACTCCTGGTTGGTCACGGGACATTGGTGGCTCAGGAGTGTTGGGGACGCTCCATTACCTTGAGAGTGTGAGCCACCTGTAGATTGACTGGCTGACTTGCAAAAGCTTCCTTGTGATTTAAAAAAAAAAAAAAAGGAAAATAACTGTTGGCAAGAAGGTAGAGAAATTGGAACCCTTGTGCATTGCTGTAAAATAGAGCAGCTGCTGTGGGAAACGGTTTGACAGTTCCTCAGCTAGTTACACACAGACCTAGCCTATGCCCCAGCAGTCCCACTCCCAGGTGAACACCCAGAAGAACTCAAAAGAGGTGTCCACACTGATACAGTTCTGAGCATTGCTCTTCACATTAGCCAAAGAGTGGAAAGCGCCCAGATGTCCATCAGCTGCAGAACGGATAAACACACTGTGGCACGTCTGTACAGTGGAATGTGGTTCAGCCATCAAAAGGAGTGAAGTGAGCCGGTGCCGTGGCTCACGCCTGTAATCCCAGACTTTGGGAGGCCGAGGCGGGCGAATCACGAGGTCAGGAGATGGAGACCATTCTGGCTAACACGGTGAAACCCCGTCTCTACTAAAAATACAAAAAATTAGCTGGGCGTGGTGGCGGGCGCCTGTAGTCCCAGCTACTCGGGAGGCTGAGGCAGGAGAATGGCGTGAACCTGGGAGGCGGATCTTGCA